CTTGGTTGTGAACTTGGCTCCAAACTTGGTTCTGAACTTGGTTCTAAGCTGGGCATTGAGCTTGGCATTGAGCTTGGTTGTGAACTTGGCTCCAAACTTGGTTGGGAACTGGGTTTTAAGCTTGGCATTGAACTCGGTTCTAAGCTTGGCATTGAACTCGGTTCTAAGCTTGGCATTGAGCTTGGCTGAGAACTTGGTTGGGAACTGGGTTCTAAGCTTGGCATTGAGCTTGGCTGAGAACTTGGTTGGGAACTGGGTTCTAAGCTTGGCATTGAGCTTGGCATTGAGCTTGGTTGTGAACTTGGCTCCAAACTTGGCTCTGAACTGGGTTCTAAGCTAGGCATGGAGCTTGGCTGAGAACTTGGTTGTGAACTGGGTTCTAAGCTGGGCATTGAACTTGGTTCCAAGCTAGGCATGGAGCTTGGCTCTAAACTTGGTTGGGAACTGGGTTCTAAGCTTGGCATTGAGCTTGGCATTGAGCTTGGTTGTGAACTTGGCTCTAAACTTGGTTGGGAACTGGGTTCTAAGCTTGGCATTGAACTTGGTGTGGAGCTTGGCATGGAGCTTGGTTCAGAACTTGGTTCGAAGCTTGGCTCTGTTGATGGTATTTTTGAAGGAAATGAGCTTGGCACTGAGCTTGGGTTGGAGGAAGGTATGGATGAAGCCATATAGGTTGGGATAGAGCTTGGCACGGAGCTCGGGATGGAGCTCGGGATGGAGCTTGGCAGAGAACTTGGTATTCGGCTTGGACTGTATGATGGGTTATTTGAAGGTATTGTGCTAGGCATTGAACTTGGAGTTTTACTTGGTATAAAACTTGGTTTCGATGATGGCTTCAATGAAGGTATTGAACTTGGGATTCCACTTGGCATCATCGATGGGGTCGTGCTCGGAAATGTGCTTTGCGAAGGGATCGCGCTGGGCTTCGAGCTTTGCTTCGAAGAAAGCCCTAATGAAGGCATTGAGCTAGGCATTAAACTCTTCATGGCACTTGGGACAGAGCTTTGTGTCGGATCTTCGGTTGGATTGTCCGTCGGCCTATGTGTTGGAGCCGAAGTAGGAACCGCTGTCGGGGAATGTGTTGGGGTTGAAGTAGGAACTGCTGTCGGTCCATGCGTTGGAGACGACGTAGGAACCGCTGTCGGTCCATGCGTTGGAGACGACGTAGGAACCGCTGTCGGATCATGGGTTGGAGATGCCGTCGGCTCTGCTGAAGGCAATGAGCTCGGCAATGAACTGGGAATCGCACTGGGTATTGCACTCGGCATCAAACTCACGCTGGGCATCGCGCTGGGCATTGCACTCGGCATCAAGCTCAAGCTCGGCATCGCGCTGGGCATTTCACTCGGCATCAGACTCAAGCTGGGCTCCGAAGAAGGCAGCAAACTGGGCATTGAGCTAGGCACAGTACTTGGAATCAAACTTGGTGAGGCACTCGGTATTGAACTTGGTTTTGAGGATTGCATCAAAGTCGGGAAGGAACTTGGCGTCAAGCTTTGTGTCGAAAGGAACTCTGCAGATGGCAAAGAGCTCGGCGTATTGCTCTGCAGTGAAGTTGGCATCGAGCTATGCGTCAAACTTGACAAGGAATTAGGCATCAAGCTCGGTTGCGAAGAAAACGTCGAAGACGGTATTGGGCGTAGTATCCAACTAGGTATGGTACTTGGTTCCGAAGAATGTTTGGCAGATACTTGCGGAAGCGCAGGGGGTATTTCTGATTGAATCTCGTTAGAAGCATCCAAATGACTTGAGCTGCTATGAGGCACTATACTTGGCAGTATAGAAGTTGATGGGAGATCCGGAAATAAACTAGGTCGATTGCTTGGGCTGTGGCTAGGAAATAGAGAACTAGAAACAAAGATGCTTTGTTGTTTTGATGGATGAAGAGATGGTGTCTGAGAAGGACTGTGACTTGGTTGATTTGTTTGGACACCTGAATCTCTAGGAAGAATCGCCTTGTCAAGCACAATGCCTTCTTCTTTCAACACCTCTCCAACCTCCCCAGACGCCACTTTTTCTAAAATAGAACGAACTTGCGTAATTGGTCTTCCGGCAGATATATCCGGAATCACCTCAATTTCCGTTTCGTAGCACTTCGTTTTGCTTCGATTCTCATTTTCACATTTGATTTCGTTCGTCATAAATTTGAATTCAGGAACAATCGGAGAGTCTGAAGAACCCAATGTCGACAAAATCGAATCCATTGAAGTTTCCTCCAACTTTGATTTAGACCATGTATGAACACTCGGAGAGTCTGAAGAACCTAAAGTTGACAAAATCGAATCCATTAAAGTTTCCTCCAATTTTGATTTAGACCATGTATCTGGTACAGCGAGAAATAACTTAAATGAATTGTATGAAATTGCAGAGGGCAAGGTACCGGGCATTCCAGAGGGTGCAATAGTTGGATTTGATGATGGACTAATTGGATTCCCAAACAGCGTTCGATTGGTTGGTTCAACGCTCAAGGCTCTAATGCGATCCAAAAATCGAGAGCGGTCAACAGGAATTTTTGAACTAGCATGTTGAAGACTAACTGGAGATTCGTCTGTTCCGAAAGGGGCCACTGTCATGATATCCAAATTTTCCAACAAGCGTGAAATTGGATCAGGATTGTCTACGCCAAACAAAGGATCTTCCAATGGGCATGACGCATTACAAGTCACGAACGGCGCCCATAATGTATCAATCACATCCTTTTCCTCATCGTATTCAAAATCAAGATAGGAACAGTTTATCATTTGTCGCTGGTGCGTCTCGTCGCAGTTTTCGCTAACGTCATTATACGCCTTTATTATTTCATTCCCAAGACGACTCCAATCCCACGAGTCCCATGTCTCAATTAGACCTGCAGCAAGAGAATCTGATTCTCTACCAAATGATATTTTTATTCCTGCCATTTTCTCAACAGGAAATTCCGGGCAAGTATCAAGTGACTCTGTCGCAGCCACTACTGCACCAGCAGACATTGCAATTGTACCTATCGCTGCTGTTGTCACAGCCTAAAAACGATTATGGTGATATTATTGCAGAATCATAGAAATGATTAGTTGAAATGCTATTTGCAGAATATCCATTAATGGTCAAATCTTTCCAATTCTTTTTCAGAGTACTTACCACTGTAGCCGTTGTGCTTGCTGTTGTTGCTGCGGCTGCGGCCGCTGCTGTTGCGACAGACGCCGCTGCCGCTGCTGTTGCACTTCCTGTGACAGCTGTTGCAGCTCCGACTGTACTGGCGGCAGTAATAGCCATACTAATTAAAGATTAACAAGAATAATGTCAATTCACCTTCCAAAAGAGCAACGAGAAGTACACATAACACTTTCGAATATGAACTTACGATTGGACTACTGCAGCTCTAAGAGTCAGTGTTTCAGCAAATGCAATCAAACAATCAAATAAAGTTAGATGCATATTTTCCGTAACTGTTGTCTCACAATATTTTTCAACTTACTGAGTGGCTACTGCTATTGCCTGGGCGGCAACAGCGGTAGATGCACCGGCACTTAAAGCAGTAGTAGCCCCAGAAGCTGATGCAGCAATGCTTACTGCTGACATAGTAGAGGATGCCACAGTGGATGCGGCGGTGGATGCCACAGTGGATGC